GCTATTGGCTGACCCCTGGCCGGTATCGCCCACCTGCTGTAGCAGGTATCGCGCCTACTGGTGTGTGCACCTCCCTCATCTTCCCTCGTTGGAGTCGTACTGTAATGATAATGAAAAGGACCTGAATGGCTGTCCTGTCTAGATACGATAGGCAATTGAATTGGTTGGGCTTAAACCACCAGAACCTCCGGGCCTATTTTCGACAAGTCGTGGCCAGCACCCGAACTTTTAGGAGGCCGAGCCTGCCGTTGATAAATCTGATCGGCGGCCGTCATTTCATTTCGGCCTCCTGAAAGGTCGGAGGCCGAGTATTTTCGAAACGTCAAAGGTACTGGTGGTTTAAGACATTAGAATTTGAGAGTCGGTGACGCTCACCTTAATGGATATGGAACCAGGCCCTTAAGGTCGTTTTTCTTTTCGAAGAAAAAAAAAAGAAAGAATTTGAGAGTTGAGCCATGATGCCATAGCAGAAGTTTCTTTCACCGGCTTTCGGGCATTGCTGTTATAACTCGACAGTCATAATGCTCTTGTTTTTCGGGAGACCAGAATTAGTCTCCTGGCTTCCTGTGCTGGTATATGGTGTGAGTGGAAAACAACTGCTGGTACAGTTGCAAAAGCAAGCAGGATGGTGCACACCTCGACATCTTGATTAGTAAGTTTTGAGCTCAAACCAGGATGGATATAATTATGTTGCTGAGTGTACCAGTTAAAAGATAACTTTGAATGAGGGTTTATGCCAGATTATGGCTCCCGTTTGCGGATCAGACATCTGTTCTCTGACATTTTGAAATGAGGAACGCAGGAAATTTTCCATCCTGAACATTGTAGCTAGCTTATTGGGAGAAGGATTAAGCTGGAAACCAGACGAGCACTACGGAGACCCTGTGGTTCCATTCCCTGCAGAAATTCTAGCACAGTCATGTATATCTGTGGGCTCAATTTTTCCTCTTTATTATGTTCTCAGAACACCCTTTTGCCTAAAGGCTGTGGGGGAAAGCAAGCTCATGTGCTCAGGAAAGCTGGGTAGTCATCAATTGTGGCAAATAAGAAAATTTTACCTGTCATGAGCTCTGCAAACCCCTCCCTTTTCATTCGCGACCTCCATGTCCCTTCAATGTTCATTTTCTCTGTCCGTGAGGAGGCCTTAACTCGAGGAGAATGATGTATTGTCAGATCAGAATAAGCAAAACAGTCCGATGACCGCTAAGCAGTCTTTGGAAAGTAGTCTGAATATTACTGGACACCTTTAATTATGAAACACATTGCAACTGCTTGGCTGCGTATTTTGTCATCAGTGTTGTTGGCGGCATGCAGAGGTTGTGTCACCCAAATTATCAACTGCTCATGCATCCAGGGCTATGTGATGCCTAGGCGGTTCAAATGTAAAGTGGGTTTTGGGTGGGTCAGCGGGCTAGCTCAGTTGGTTTCGCATGCAAGTTGCATACAGGATGTCGTGGGTTCAATTCCCCGCGGCCGCCTATGGCGTGCTTGGTGTCCGCCAGCCGAGATAGTTGACTTGCCCTCACTACTTGGTCTTGGTAGGGTTCTGGGTTCTCTCGGAGGCCTTCGCCCCTGCCAGTCCTAGCTGGGGGTTAAGTTAGTATGGATGGTAGACCTTGGTTGCCCCTGTTTGGCAGATGAAGCTCTGGCTAGCCCCTGCTTCGTAGGTGTAGCTCGGGCTAAGGTAGATATGGGTAGGTAGTGTAAGGGATAACCGAAAGAAGAATATAGCTTAGTTATGTAAAAAAAAAGAAGGGTTTTGGGCAGTGTCTTGCTGGATTTTCTGGTTTTGAAGGCCTGTGAGTCGTCAGTTTTGTGACCTGATCACTGAGCAGATGTAGATGCTCACTGTTGTGAACAGTCAGGTTGGCTGTTCGGTTGTTGACTCTGGCTTGACATGTGAGGTGGCACAGAGCCGAACTTTCTGGGAGTTTGTCTGTTAGCAAAGGCTATCTCGCTGCGGAGCAAGTGAAGCGGCTTCGTGCATGAGATGCAATGTATTTTTGGAACTGTTTGTCGCCATGCTATAGTGCACATAATGCAACTATTGTGCATAGCAAGTGCATCCAGGAACACAGGGTAACACTCCACTGGCCAGCGGACCCACTACACAGGTTAACACACCACTGGCCAGCTGACCCACTCATAGCAAGTGCAGCTATTGTGCATAGCAAGTGCATCCAGGAACACAGGGTAACACACAAGTCCTCCAAGCCTCATTTAGCCAGCCGGGATTTCTGCTGCCACCAGCATGGGTGCGGAATATTCTCCCTGGTTGGTGCGGCGAGCATTTTGCCTTCCCTTTGGCTGAGCCCGCAACTGTACGGCGGGTTAAACCTCCTGTGAGCTGGAACAAATAGATGGGAAAGGGACTGGTGGCTTCGAGACAATGTCTCAGTGTTGACTGGATGGATGCACCCACTTTATGCGACTCTATTTTCGACACTCCCACCTAATGCTACAGTGCAGGAATGCAGCTATTGTACATAGCAGTACGTGTGGTGATGTGGTGGATGTACCTTTCACTATCGGATCGAAATCAGATGATGTCGTTCACTCCATTGTGATAGTGAGACATCATACATGCACATATTCCTTTTGCTCCCTGTGTTAACTTGAGCCAAGTCAAGGTACTTGGCCTCTTCATGGGGTATGTAGTTGTGAACAGTGTCTCTTCATGCTATAGTGCAGGAAAGGCATCTTCTGTACATAGCCAACACATTTGGTAATGTGTGGCGTCCTATCTCTGGCCATCGAATAAATCAGATGATGTGGACCATCGACTGTAACAACGAGACCTGCGCAGTTGTATCTCCTCTGTGTCAACTGGGGCTAAGTCAAGGTCGGTTCGCCTCGTGACGAGCCATCAATCTGAAATCTATCTTTCTGAAACTTCATCGGCGGTGTCATAGCTGGCATTGTAAACGGTGAACCTACTGACAATGTGTGTCGATGTGTGCCCTGCTGTGTTGGCTTCTGATCCTGAAGCCAATAAGATTATTGGAAAAGAAGGTACAAAATTGTTGGCTGTGAATTGGGTGCCAGCCTAGTGTCAGAGTTGTGGGCTCGAGTACTGTACCCAAAGTGTGTGTGTAAAAAGTACACCTGCACTTGTCCCTCGTATGTGTGGGCGTAGTTTTTCCGTGTCTCAGGGCATACTCACAGACCTGGTAGTAATTACGCTGAGATGGATCCCTGAAAATTCATAGTATGGGTATGCTCTGAGGGGTGTAGAGAGCCATCTGTTAGGAGCCTTTGCAGGTGCATCCCCATTGTGATGGTGTAGATTTTGCCTCTGAGGTCCACAGGCCCTGTAGTTCATGCATTGTGGCGTCCGAACGATGCTTTTGTTAAGTTTACAAAGTGAAAGGCTTGGTTTGGTTTCTTTTGACGTGAGGTATCCAGTGTGATTTTTTTTTTTTTTTTTTTTTTTTTGGAGCAGTGTGATTCTGACTCTGACAGGTGGTAGTATTTTAGGCAGGGTAACCAGCATCAGCTTCTCCGGCATCTATAGACTGCATTCACTTCATAATCCCATGTGCTGAGGGGTGAACGTGTGCTCTAGTAGAGAGAGAGATCCCCTAAGCTACTTACACGTGGAGGCGGATGCTTCAAGTGGGCTAAAAAGCCTAAAAGTGACGAGCTTGCATGGCAGTGAAGAAAAGAGGTGAGAAAAAGGGAGTGCAGGTGATCGGGGAGCTGGTAGAGGTCTGGCAGCCTTGCAAATGCCAGGGTACAGGTTGGATCTTCAGCGGCCTGGCGACCTACTTGCAAAATAGGCAGGGCAGGCTATCCTGACGCAGGGATCCTGATCCTGATGGTCGGGTGTTGCACCGTCATTGTCTTTTCAAGGCTGCCAGCCTCCAGGGAGGTTCGGGATGCAGTGGCGATTTAAACCTCAAGTACATTGACCCAGCCAAGCTGGGAGTCGCGGCGGCAGCCAAAACTTGAACAAAAAAGAGCTACGCTGGTGTTTCGGCAAAGCTTGGTGGGCAGTGGGATTCTGCCTCGTACAAAAGAGGTACGGATGTACTGGTCCTTTAAGAGGAGAGACGTCTTGCAGTCGAGGATAAGACTAAGATTTGGGATAAGGATATGTAAGGATAGACGGAACGTCAGTTGAGTAAGTATGATTATGTCAGGTCAAAAGGGAATCGCTGAAAAGTATGGACTCACACCATGCTCAAGCTCAGATGTCTATGCAAACCATGGGTTATTTCTTTGTGGCTTTGAGGCGGTTTGGGATGTACACAATCTCTCTGACGAATGCTCAAGCGAAGAGGGGTGTAGTTTTGAACCAAGTCAAACAACAGTGAAACGGGTCATGGGAGTCTCACACGAAGTGTTTGCTCATTAGTTATGGACACTGAACCCTATATAGTATACACAAGTTTCAGCATAAGTCTCTCTTAAGTCTCTCTTTCTAGGGTGTATGGGCATGCTCTTCCGAGCTCTCATGGTCTTCCCAACCTTTTGGAGGAGGGTGACGTGGAGCAACGTGCCCTGCATTAAAATGGTGCCACAGCCATAATGTCTCTCTTCCACTGGTGAAGGCGAGCTGCAGCAATGTGCCTTACGGACATTTCCCGTCTGCTTACCTCCCTTATGCTCCCTTGCTTGAGTGGGAAAACCTGTCCTTGTCAACTCCTCCCTCTCGCTTTCTTTCACCCCTATCCGTTTGTTCCCAGTCTCCCCTTGCTGCTCAATTCATTGACGTCGAGTGATGCAGTGTGTGGATTACATCAGTAGAAAAGGAATGGTGAAAATGAGTGAGAGAATTTATTCTGTGGGGCCCACGGTGACAAAAAAGGGGGACGTAGTACTTCCTGTGCGGATGTAATTGGACGCCATTTCCTGCGAAGAACACGTGAATGCATCTCTCTCAAGCCCAGTGCCCCTGTCAGCTACGTGTCAGTGCACCTCTTTCTAATGACTGTGCAGGTAAGATTTTGTGGAGGCTGCATAGTTTGCTGTTCTCTTGCCCTAGGAATGGAGTGGGGGGATTTTTGGCATGCATTGGAATCCTTGAGGAAGTTGGATGGAGTTGGGCGAATTTTGGCGTTTGTCAAATGGGTGCAGAATTGTTGGTACGACTCCTGTGTGCGAATGTGGTATATGTGGGCCTTGTGGGTTGGGGCGTTTGGCCAGGATGGATGGGTTTTGCTCGCCAACGCATAAACTGATGACATTTTTGGGGGTATGTTTTTGCTGTCCACGAATGGGTTGGATGTTTGTGCAGGTCTTTGATGGGCACAATGGGGTACAGGCAGCAGCGTATGCAAAGGACACCTTGCTGGAGAGCATATCGAACGCGATCCCTGGCGGCAAGACGCGGGCAGAGTGGTTGGCTGCTCTCCCGAAAGCAATGGTCATTGGGTTCATGAAGACAGATTCTGATATTGCGAGGAAAGGTGAGATTGAGGGGTGTGTGTGCTCCCACCTTGTGAGAGTAGTCTCGCCGTCGTGGTAATAATGTGTGAAACTGGACGTTAAGTGAAGTCGTCTGTTCTTGGGATTACACTCTTCCCCAAAACACATCGCACACCTTCGTTGTGACTGTATCGGGCTGGAAATATTATAAGCTTGTATACATTCATTTTGAGGCCGCATTGTGTTCAGAGGAAGACTGTTGTGTCCTAAGCTAGGCTGTGCCAGCAACCGGCCAGTTGGACCCCGGGTGGTCCAACCGGCATTCCGGTTGGGCCCAAAAGTGGGTCACTTTTTTTTTTTGTTGAAAACATGGTTGGACTGCACTCCCCGAATCCGCAAAGAAAACTTTGAACAGAGAAGTTTCGTTTGGAGTGTATTTCAGGGGTCGGGGGTTGGGGGGTTTATTGTGAGGGTGTTAGCGGTGGGGTTTCAGCAAAAGCACGGGCTTCAGCAGACGTTGACAACAACGTACCTGGCTTTCTGCAAACGTTAACCTTCCGCCCAAAAACTTTGAAAAGGCCACGAGACCGGTCTGCTTTTTGGCAGGCCTGGGTTTCTGCAAACGTTAACCTTCAAGCCTTTTGGCGGGCGTACAGGATCCGGTCTGATTTTTTTTTGGGCCAGGAGACCTCCATGGCCTGCGTGAAGGCCTCCTGGCCCCCCAAAAAACTGGTAAGACCCCCCAGATTGGATGCGCTACGGCCCCTTGGTGCTTGTCACTGCTGTCTGGTCCAAGTTGTCCTCGATACTGGTAGGGTGATGGTCCTGAGTACTGGTTCCTTACCGAGGTAGTATAGTAGGGATAGGGCCCAGCAAAAGCACGGGCTTCAGCAGACATTGGCTACAACGTACCTGGCTTTCTGCAAACGTTAACCTTCCGCCCAAAAACTTTGAAAAGGCCACGAGACCGGTCTGATTTTTGGCAGGCCTGGCTTTCTGCAAACGTTAACCTTCGAGCCTTTTTGGCGGGCCTACCGGATCCGGTCTGATTTGTTTTGGGCCAGGAGACCTCCACGGCCTGCGTGGAGGCCTCCTGGCCCAAAAAAAAACGGTAAGACCCCCCCGATTGGATGCGATACAGCCCCTGGTGCTTGTCACTGCTGTCTGGTCCACGTTGCCCTCGGTACTGGTACGGTGATGGTCCTGAGTACTGGTCACACTGAGGTAGGATGTAGGGATAGGGGGTGCGCTGGGAGTATTTAACGTGGGGAAGGGTAGGGAAGGTGGCCTATCCTGTCAGGACAACTGCCGGCTGCCGCTGCCACCGATCACCGTGGGTCTAGTCCTTGGCATCTACAACACCCTGGGCTTAAAATGAAAATAAAAATAAATAATAGTAATAATAGTGATGCGGTACGGCCAACCGGGGGGAAACCAGCCCGGTCGACCGGCCTGTAGGACTGGTCCGGTTCCGGTTGGGGGAGGCCCCCTGGTCCTACCGGGTTTACAGCCTAGGTCCTAAGTGCGGTGCGTAAACCAATTTGTGTGGTGCGTGAACCAATTTCGCCACAGCCTCTGCTGTTTCTTTCTGAAATGCCTGAAAGGAGTATAAGCATGTCAATAAATTCCATCATACCTGAAAGGTCCTAAGTGCGGTGTGTAAACCAATTTCGCCACAGCCTCTGCTGTTTCTTTCCTGGAGCACAGGTTCAAGAGTGCCACCGCTAGCAGATTGGGGAGAACCAGGGGAGTGGCAAAAATGGAAAATGCATCGAATTACCGCTGCGATTTATATCGTGGTTTAGACGATTTTTTATTTTTATTTTTAAATATTTTTCCTGGAAATATCACGACCATATCTACGGACACTCCAATTGTCAGATTTCTTGGCACATTCTTTTGATTGTGAAAAACCACTGAAGTTGAGGTACTTTTCCCGTTGGCCCACACGTGGTAGAGCGGCAAAAATGGGAAATGAGATCAATCGGCGCGGCATTTATTTCACGGTCTAAAATATATTTTTTTTAATTTAAAAAATAGTTCTCCTGGCAAGACCATGAGGAAGACCTTCCGATTTTCAGAGTTTTTGAGTCATTTTTCTGAGCGCAAAAAATCGTGGAAGTTGGGGTACTTTTTCCGTTGGCCCTCACGTCGTATGGAAAATGTGAGGAATCGGCAGATTCGGCACGGCATTTATTTCACGGTCCAAAATATATATTTTAGAAATTTTCTGGTATTTCTCCTGGAAATATCACAATCTAATGTACAGGATCTCAAATTTTGCTGGTCGCCCCCCTACTGTTTTCTGTGACCCTAACTCTCCGGGAATCCTACTTTAGGCTGTCGGGGGTAGCGGTGGTCTAAGTGGTATGATAAAGGGCCTCGCTCTGCTGAACAACACTCTACATGCATTTGGACGGTCCCGATTCATTTGAAGTGTTCGACTCGTCTGAATGCTTCTGGTCCACAAAGCTTCCAAATTCATGTAGTGTTATAGTGGAGCGAGGCCCAGAATCTGAGTTAGTGTCGCTGCTAGGGTTGCAGATGTTGTGCTGCTTTCTGAACCCGACACATTTGAAATGTTAGACTCGTCCGAATGCGTAGTGAAGGACCTCGCTCTGCTGAACAACACTCTACATGCATTTGGACAGACCCGATTCATTTGAAGTGTTCGACTCGTCTGAATGCTTCTGGTCCACAAAGCTTCCAAATTCATGTAGTGTTGTGTAGCGGAGCGAGGCCCAGAATCTGAGTTAGTGTCGCTGCTAGGGTTGCAGATGTTGTGCTGCTTTCTGAACCCGATACATTTGAAATATTAGACTCATCCGAATGCTTCTGGTCCACAAAGCGTCCATCTAGTTGTTGTGCCACCCCCACAGCACAACAACTGGATTACATACCAGGTCAAGTAGCTATTGTGTCCACCCCGCGGCACAACAGCTAGATGACATATTTTGTTATCTAGTGTTTGTTCCGACCCCATAGTGCAACAGCTAGATGACATAGTATCTTATCTAGCGGTTGTTCCCACCCCATAGTACAGCAGCTAGATGACATAGCATGTTATCTAGCGGTTGTGCCCACCCCATAGTACAAAAGCTAGGGGACATAATATGTTATCTAGTGGTTGTGCCCGCTGCTTACTACAACAGCTAGATTACATAGTATGTTATCTAGTGGTTGTGCCCACCCCATAGTACAGCAGCTAGATGATATAGTATGTTATCTCGCGGTTGTGCCCACAACAGCTAGATGACATAATTATCAGAAGATACTGCAACCCGTGGAGCGACCCTAATCTTTGGAGTGGGGGGCGGCCTGCGCCTGATTGAGGCAGGGATGTTGGTTTGTAACTTTGTTTGGTCCGTAGGGGGGCTGCATTGCACTTAGTTGTTGCTGTCTTTTTTTTCCCTTTTCTTGTTGCTTTGTATAGTGCGGCTCTCTGTTCTTTTTTTTTTTTTTTTTTGCTTCCTTTTTTTTTCCCGGAGGGGGCTAGGCCGCCCTAAGGTTATCACGGCCAACTCAGGACCAGGGCAAGGCAGATTTTTATTCATGAAGATTTGCATGTCTGCAAACATTCACGGAAGCGTCATTTGCCATCACACTATCTTCCGATGAACACTGTGCACCCTGATAACAAATTTTTACAAGCCATCTTTATGGTCCGGTGGAGCAATAATGAGGGGGCATTATGTTCGGGGCTTTTGGTTCTTCCCTTGAAGCGGCTAGCGCATTTTCACATGCACTGCTCGCCCGCGATCTAAACCCGGTAGGCCGTTTCGAACTTTCGGGAGCCCGTTAGCCCAGTCCCTCAGAACCTAAGCTACGGTAGTCGTTCGCAAGAAAAATATACAGTGACAGGGCAGATGGACTGGTGGTTTAAGTTGGTCGCTCTGTTATTTCTGATGCCAATTGCCAACAGTGGGATGTAGTTGGCCCAGTAGGGCTCACCCAGGTCCTGATCTACCTGTGTGGTGGCGAATCTGATGATAGTACTTAGTTGCTAATAACAAATGATGCTGACGAGTATGGTGATGGGGTAATGGTATAGGGAAGGCTGAAAAATAAATTCAGAAAAGAAAAAATGCTATGCGGCAAGCCGGCGTTACAAGATCTCAGGCCACCACTAGCGACTATGCAGTCCAGTGCCTTCGCAAAGTATGAAGGAAAGGAAGTTCAAGGAACTCATGGGGAGTGATCTGGATGGGATAAGCTGGCTTACGTCGGAGTAAGTTTTTCTTTTTCTGTTTGAAATCATTTGTCAAAAGATCAGGAAGAACAAGGGGGGCATGTGTAGCCATCATAAGTATGGTTCAACGTCGATAACACAGCGGTTCCGGGGATCCAAAAAAAAAAAAATCGAGGATGAAGGGTGGCCAGTGAGTGGGGGGACGGGAAATAGAAATTTGGTATTTGGAGCATTTCTCAATTTTTGCCTGTCATCCTTGCGGAAGGGCCATGGGAATCTTCTCTGTATTGTTCCATATCTTAACTGCTGTCCCGAAGGATATGTCTGAGTAAGTTTGAACATCTGCAGTGGGTGTTTTCTCTGTGTTAGGACCTACTCCGGTAACTCGTCTGAACTTTCTTTTCCCTTTCCTTTTATCCTCCTTGCTCTGTGCTTTTGAAATTATTGGTGTCCAGATACGTGCTCAGGGACGACGGCGACGATAGTCTTTGTGGATGAGTGGACTGTGACAGTTGCAGCAGTTGGAGATTCCCGGTGTGTTCTGGACACGGAGGCGGGAGGAGTGGTTGCATTGACGGTTGATCATCGCCTGGATGAGAACACGGACGAGTGCGTAATGATTCCCCCTTGTCCCTTGCACATGCCAACCAGTTCTGCACGGCACGTCTCTCCGCCCTCTCTGCTTCATTCTGAGTCCTCACTTCCGTAGCCTCTGTGTCGTTCTCTTCCCGACTCTGCATTGCCATTCCTCCTCATCCCAACCACATCCGAACCTTTTCTCCATGGTACGCCTTGCTTCCGCCGTCCTCGATTCTCATTCTTTGCATCCCCACTTTCATCACTCGAAAATTATAATGCACCCTCATGAATGATGAATGTATACAAGTGATTTTTCAGGCCAGCTATGGTCATGGCAGGGTCGTGTGTTGTGTTCTGGCGAAGATGGTGACTCCTGCTTCACTCTGTTCCCCTTTCCTCTTGAATTCAAGCTCGTTCACTCTTCTTGTGTTGTATTTGTTTGTCCTGATCTCTTTTTTTTGGCTGTCTTATATGTCCGAAAATCTTTTTGAGGTGTGGGTGTTCGTGCACGGGTGCGTTGGATGTCATAGTACTCCTTGTTTCCTTTTTTGGTACGGGGGAAAACCGCAGATCTGTTTGCTGCTGGCAACTGTCGCTACCCTCTGAAAAGTCGTGCCATACCCTAAAGACAGGAAGGAAAATATGTGCAGGCTTGGCAATCCGATCGAACAACTGAACAAGGGCTGGCTTCGGCTTCCTGATCATCAGGGCAGTAACCTTGGCAGTTGTAAAAGGCACTGCTGGTTTCAACCACCAGAACACCTGGGCCTGGAGGCGCTGGCGCTGCACTGCACGGCAAGCTTTTCCGGACCGCCAGCGGCGCATTTTTTTTCCTTTTTGGGTGGCGCCGCCAGCCATTGTGGTCCGGTAGCTCTGAGCTCCGGAAAGTTCCAGAGTTGGCAACTCCTGGTTTTCTGCAAGGCTGGGGCTGTGTACTGGCGTTCTAAACGATTACCAACTCCGGACCTGTCCTGCTGAGAGGAACATTTTTTTTTTCAGGAGGGCCCTTGTTTGTCCTTTTGTGGGTGTCCGTTGTGGGCATTTTCTGGGTTGTGCTGGTGCGGCTTCGGTCTTTTGGCTCCTGTTTAGCTAGACCTTTCTGCTGCACCGGCACTCGACCAGCTATGGACTTCTCTATCAGTAGGTCAGAAAATATGAGGCTGACTGACTTAAGGGAGGTTGGACACAGGTATGATAATGGGTTAGCGTTTGAGGTAAAAAAGACCAAGTGGCACGCCCCCCTTGGTGACGCCAAGTTAGCATGGACCTAGCTCATTTTTGCGCACAGGTTCGTGATCAGTATGTGTTTGCTGTGGACGAAGTGGTGGGCCCAATTCGCATCACGGATGGCACAGTCACACTTAGACCTCTTTGACTGAGCTCTGGACGTGAATGCTATCAGATGTATCCCCATCTTTTTGTAATTGCAGTCAGATACATTTAGCAGAAGTCAGTGTGAAAAAAGGATGACCGAAGCCAGCTTTTGCAAACAGACTCACGTTGTGCACACAGACATAGCAACAGTGTGCATGCCCCCCCTGGATGTCCCAAGCACATCTTGTCTGTATTTTGTTCCGACACCGCTACACCGAGGCTGGTACAGTGAGACTGGTGCGCCGATGCTGGTGCAGTGAAGTTGGTAGCCTGAGGATGGTTCAGCAAAGCTGGTGCAACGAGGCTGCTACGCCGACGCCGATGCACCGAAAGGGTGGTACTTCGATTGATGTGTGTGTGGGCCCATAGTACTTCAATGCTCAGACTCATACTGAGAGCTAAGCGGCATGGTTAAAACCTGCTTGCCCCAGTGTTTGGTTTCCTGTTCTTCCCAGCATCTGTCACCCACTGGGAAATGTTAAACACTGGTTCTTTACCTCCTCTTTCTTCTTTCGTTTTGAGATGCTCCGAATCTGAAAAGGGGTCCATAGAAATGTACATAATTTAACAAGAAGGAAAACATAATCTGTGCGCTGTTCATTGTCAGGGTTAAAATAAAAATAAATTTAATAAATAAACAAATAAAAATCAGACACTAAGATTGAAATAAGCGCTGAGTGGCAGTGAGTGCTGTTATGTGGATAATTCCAAGTCTGGTCGGTGAGTATGCTGAACTCGTCGAGTCTCCTGAGTATTCCTTGAGCCGGCTGTTTCCGTCGCTGGTTCGCTGAACCTTATTCTGATTTTTTTCTGAAGTCAACTGAGATCGTATGGGTGCTGGATCTTTGGTCAAGTTCACTTGATTTCACATGGGTCCGGCTCCGGTGTAGCCATGAGAATAACAATATTGTTCATGGCAGAGACATTCTCCTTTGAGTCCTTTCTGTTTTTTTTTCTTTAGAATTTCAATTTTTTTTTTAATCCAGAAAAAAAGTTGTACAATATTGCCATACAAACAACTTGTGCCCAAGGGTCTTGTCGAAATTCCCACCTGAGTTCAAGAAAAAGATAAAACAACGGGTGTACTATATTGCCGGTACCAGGCTCCCTAAAAGTTGTACCCTGCAAGTCGTTGCATAACCTATGTAAGCTCTATTGGAATACGAGATATCCCAAATGTTGTATTCGTATACAACATATCTCACCAAGCCCCTTCCTCAGAGTGTGTAACTGTGTGTTTCCCTCTTCGTGTCCATATCCCGTGTGCGTTGTCCTGTCTCTGCGTGCATGCATTCCTCCCTTCAAGCGGTAAACACCTGCTATGTACTAGACGGGGAATTGTTCGCATGCACCCATGTATGCATTTTCGCAAATGCACGCCCCGCACTTCCAGCAGGTGGCTAAGCCCCTCCGATCCGTGCGAGTCCGTGATTTTGAGTTTCCCGCATGCATGTCCATCCATGAGGTGCACCCTCTACAAGTGTACTGTCTACAAGCTGTTCCCCTTCCCTTGTGTGTATGTGCTGTGTGTTTGTGCCTTGCCTTTCTTGTTCGTGATCTGTCATGTTCTTCCATGTGAGATGCATTTTCCTCCTGGCTGTCTCCTCCTGTGCATCCACGTGCATCTCTCGGATTCCGAGTGTCTCTCACTTCTCTGTGTGTACCCATCTGTCCGTTCGACCAAGTATGTCCGAGATGGTTGCTCTGGTATGCCCATGTGGCTATGCCCCTGTGCACCTCTGGAACGATCGTCTCATTATATCCGCGCACTCTGATCATGCACTAATACTGCGCTTGTTGGGAGTTGTTTCGCTCTTCTGTGTTTGGTGGTGTCTTTCTTTCACGTGTGTGATGCTTGTCTCGTCTGTTGCGCACTTCTGAATGTGGATGTTGCAGATGCCCAAGTGTGCCATCTTGATTGCTTCCTTCTCTCCCTTGATGCATGCCCATCTTCAAACAGGCACCTTGGCGAGTTCCCTGCCCTTGCGCATCTTCCCACATGATCTATTCTGTGCATGAAGGAAGTGTCTTACCGTGCGTAATCGAGGGGTGTGTGCCCCTTTCCTCCTGTGTTCCTTTCTTCATGTGCACGGACATTGATGCCGTCTGCGTCCTTCTGCACCTCCCCGTACAGCTACCCTGCCCGTGCATGCTTCCTGCATGAGCCTTCACCTGGCATGCACGAACGTGGATACTGCATGTGTCCCAATGCTTCGGATTGAGGCCTGCACTTGGTTCCTTGGAGCCAGCAGTCTTATACTCCTCACAGGCCTGCTTCCGCAGGTGTTTGGCCCTCTTCCCCAGTCCGGAGCTGTCCCTAATGTCCGTTGGTCCCTGTCCATGGCTGTGCTTCGGTCCTGGTCCTGTAGTCCCAGCTTCTTGTGATCCTGGACCCTGCACTGGTTCCCGCAGCCCTGACCCAGGTTGCCTGTGGTCCTGGTATTGAGTCCACCGTACATCTAGGCTGAGCTGGCCTATCCCCGCTGCGCTTGTCCGTGGCCTGGTGGTCTCTGGTGCCGGAGCTAGTCCGTGGTCTGCTGTTGCAGTCCGGCATAGAATTCTGGTCTCAAGGGCTGGTCCAAATGTAATTTGAGGCTGGTCCACAGGCAGTGTTGTTCATACCTCCCTTCATGAGGCTGCGACAGTAGCCTCCCGGAGTTGTCCTTAATGCCATGCAGCACAGTAAAGATGAGGACATCTGGAGTGTCGAGCCAGGAGACCTCCTGGCCTTCACAGTGATATGGCGTTAAGGAAGAAGAAAATGTAGTAGAAATAAATAATCTAATTTAAGTTATTTAATAAAATTCCAAGAATGAAGCGGTACTGGGTGGCGATAAGACTTGAGCTGTCTGACTCCGCTACACATCACTTGTGAATGGATATGCTTGATGAAGCCTGCTGAGCTGAAACCTGCATGCATACTAAGGGCAATGCGGTAGTGGTGCTATGTCTGTGCTATGCTAGTCTTGACCTGTTCTTATAATCAAGTTCGTGCTTGCTTAGCATGAACATAGCACCAACTGGGCCTGGTGTCAGAACCCCTTGTCTGAGCATGTGGCTGAACGTTGGAACTCCACTCCCCTCAGAAAGTGACACAGACTGATTTCCACTGTTTTGGGGTGTTTTCTGTAATTTTCCGACTGTGCCTACCTAAGAACAAATTCAAAGAGGCATGCTTCCGTCTTCACCCGAATAGAACGCCCGGTCATTATAGCTGTATTTGGCGGAACTTCCAGTCGTAGATACAGTGAGAATGACTGGGCGTTCTATGCGGGTGAAGACGGTAGTTTGGGCTGAGATTTAGGTTTCTCATTGTTTTACGGCGCTTGCCATGGAAGTAGTTTTGGAAAAGGGAGAAAGGTGAGCAGCTCATTTTGGAGGGCATGTTGGGCTGGCTTTGGATACACACTTGCAGCTGTTACGACATCTGCGGATGTTGTAAGAGTCCAAATCACCACTGCAGCTGGATGAGAGGTGGCAGTCCCTGCAGACATGGAAAAAGAACAGAAAAAAAGCGTTGATGTTGGATCTTCAATCTGATAGACCAACTGAGAAATGACAGGTCCCATGGTACTGAGGGCTGTCACAAAAAGATACTGTTTTTTTTTTTTCTAGGTAACGGGAAATTATGAACGAAGTTCAGCGAACTAGTTATCAGTG